GCCAACAGCAATGGTACTGTTATTTTCGTTGTAATGAAAGTCTTACTGGTGCCACAAACTTTTTAAAGTTTATCACAAAGTATGATTAATGGCGGTCTACTACAAGACCTTAGTACTTCAAGAAACAATTTGGCTAGATTTACCGGTAAGTTATGAGATGTAACAAAAACGAATTATGGAAACCCGAAAGAGTCTGCTTTGATAACCTTCAAGTTCCCATCATATGTCCTGTTTGTGTATTTGGTCTTCTTTTCTAGAGTGTTCCTTATTTTGTCATTCTGGTGCATGCAGGACTTCAACATGCTGCAGACGTACGACAACACCAGGCACAGGAGGAAGATGTGGGGTCCTGAAGTTCAAGAACACAAAATGTCTGTGGTCATGGTCAAGATCCATGGACGACTAAGACTTCAAACCAGACCAAACAGCTTGAGCAAGTGATGGGGATGATGTTCAAAGTTCTGGAGCTCGTCAGGTCACCATGTACGGTAGGGGCATACACAAGTAGATAGATTTATAATACACTACTGTTAACAGTAGTAGCCGTTTGGCTACCAATTCTTTATTGGCTATGGGGTATGATAGCAGGGAGAAGGTTGAGAAACGTCTGTAAGCTGGTACATAAACTAACAGGTGGCTTGATGTAATATAGCTAGCTGCCATACCGTGCCTAGTACAAGACAGGTGTAGTGTTGAATGCTGAAAGTTGTTTTCACTGGCTAAACACTGTAGACACAGATCAGATAACTATGTTTGTCTGTAGGTGACACTTAATACTAGTACATACTTGGATAGCCTTCAAAACATAATTGATTGTTTCTATGACCCACTTCAAGGCCCCTGACCTCTTTCTTTCAAGAGTTACTTTCATGGTTAATGGTTCCCTAGTGCCCTGCAGGCACTTGTGTCAAATAAGGACCTGACAGAGTTAATTATTCCCAGAGGGTTTCCCTCACCTATCAAGGGTCTAAAGATAAGGTGTCAAGACATATTTGTTACACAAAGTGATTTAAACTGACTTCTTAGTCCATTATATACCTGTTACACTGGCTTTTACTTTTAGAAGTCATTTACAAATGTGTAATACTAAACATGTAACATTGTTTTGTCAACATTGCAGCTGTCTTGTTTTGTGTGATATATTTGTTTGTAATGGTAGAGTGAAACATACCAGCTGTTTACATCCGCACTGTTGTCATGATTTAAACGTGATGTAATTACCCGCCAAAATCGGTCACGTGTTCATCCCGGCATGCACCAGAGGTCGCCATTGTGGAAAAAACATGGGTTGGCAGTATGGGTAAGTGTTGTGTTTCTTCAGTTTTCTTTGTGCATTCCCATTTCATAAGATATTTTACCACCATTCTTGAAGTTTGCATAGCTACATGATTTGTTGGTGACCATTCTTGTGGAAGAAGATGATACTGACAAGTCCACTAACTTTATTTTGGCTATTTTTTTTACAGTGTACTTCTGACAATCGTCATCCATTAGCCGGCAAAAGGCAGTCTTCAAGAGTTCCCACAAAACTTGACACTGAGGCTGACAGGTAGGAATGATCACTTTAATTGTAAGCAGGGTGTCATAAACAACCTTCTGAAGGACTTTAGGTCATGTCAAATTATTGACACTCACCATATCCAGTAAACTGTTGGCCGTCATACATTGTGTGTAGCCTGTAGTACCCGGTACATATAAATGGGAGTTTCTACATGGCATTGTGGTACATAGTGCTAGTGTTACATGAAATGTAGGTCATCTACTAGTAGACTCTGCATGTTGGATTACATGTTAGTAGTGCTGCTAACTGTGTGGATATGTTAAACACTGTTATTTGAGAATGATTGTCCTTATATTTTGACTGGAGCCATTCTGGCTTTTGAAGAAGGGTTGGAAATTCTTGTAGTTTACTAAACAATCTTACAAAATATTTGTCTTTTGGAAACTTGGTCTATGACTGTAACAGTAACTATGATTGACATTAATCATTAAATTGCTGTTTTCCCCAGTTTAAGAAACAATTTATACCTGCCACAACCAAGTGCTTGCTCAGTAAATGAAATTTGGACAACCTTTCATGCCATACATTGTCAAAGACAAATAAATTAGCATGAGTAGATAGTGGCAAGTTGTACTTGTCTGGAAAAAAGAAGGACTTGTTCCACACTGTGTGATGCTTACTCAAGGTGGGCAGAAAATGTTTCATTCAAACTCATTCTTTTATGTCAGGAGGCAGCAGTGATGGCAGAGAGGGCCCAGGATTTACCTGAGGTCAGCCAGCAGGGCCCAACTACTGGCAAAGACCCTCAGGTAGGAGGACCCAGTGGCCAGCGGGACTCTGGCTACTACCCAGACAGCCTTGATCATCAGACAAGTCCTGCCTGTGGGCAGACATCAAAGGAACAGACTGAGAATGGAGCTACTGGGGGAGCAGTGCTGTGTGATAGTGAAGGGGCGAAGGAGAAACAGGGCTCTGTTGAACTTTCTGGGAGCGGTGAAGAAGATGTGCCAACTGAGCAACCTAGAGAGGTTTGTGATTACGTTATTTATACATTTGATGACATTTAGTGTAGACACACAAAGGCATCTCAGTTAAATGTCAATATTATGCTTGCTGGGTTATAGGTCATTGTTTCATTTCAAAATTTAGAAAGACGCCCACAAACTTTCTGCAACCTGCATAACATGACATAACAAAGCAACGGATTGCTCATTCCTTGACAAAGACTGGAGTTGTACAGTCAAAAATTTGGTTAAGTCCTGTGTTAGAAACTACAGTTCAAACTTTCTTCATGATTTAGTGTTAAACATTTTTGACGTTGCAGGATGAAGACAACACTCGCTCATTTCCAGTGATTGGACCAAGAATATTAGACAATGAGGTAAGAAGTTCAATTAATTTAATGTCTCCTTCAAGTGCTATACAGAATTTGGTCACTCATGCCAGATGATTTACAGTATATTTCAAAGGTTAAATTTACAGGTCTGAGTACATGACATTATCGTTAGTTGTAAAAAGACTTGCACTTAGGTCAAAGAAACAATATATGAAGTTGAAGTTTACAAATTGAAGTAGGACTTATAGTATATAATGAGTTATTAATAATGAGCCCCTTGCTTCATGTATGCAATAGTAGTCAATTATTATGCACATAGTCATTTATGTGAAATATGCATGACATGAAATATATGATTGCGTGTATATTGATGCATGTGTTAGAATAGAAAATGTATCTAATTCTCATTCTTGTTTACAGCATGTCGCCTCCTGTGCCGTGCCTGTTAAGCCCCCCGCCACACACAATGGTGAGGTTGCAGGAGAGGCAGATACCAAAAAACCCCAGCAGGATTCTCAGCCCCCATCAAGTACAAGTCGCGCTGTCCCTGATTCAGACATACCTGGTGCTGAAGCAGATCTGACTAGTCTGAACAGCAGCCGCATTGTCCAGCTGTCCATCTTAAGCAGGATAGAAAAGACAGTATGTGAAGCAAGAAGCGACTTGGTTCATCACCCAGCAGGGGTAAATCCAACAGCTTTGCATAAGATATTGTTGGACACCTTCCTTCAAATATCACAGGCTAGTGAAAATCTTCTGATGGCTACCCAAACGTCCCACACCCCTAAAACACCAGTCATCAATGTGAGAAAGGGTGCCCCATGTTCAAAAAATCACATAGAAGCACATACTAATCTACCAGTATCCTCCAGTTCACACCAGAACCTACAGGTGGGTGAAGATAACAGCACAGAAAATCCAGTGCAACTGGGGACAGCACCCAATTTCACAGAAGACTCAGTGCAGATGGGGACAGCTCCAAAAGACACAGAAGTCTCAGTGCAAGTGGGGGCAGCACCCAACAGCACAGACGATTCAGAGCAGGTGGAGACAGCATTCAACAGCACAGAAGAATCAGTGCAGGTGGTTACAGTTCCAAAAAGCACAGACGACTCAGTGCAGATGGGGGCAGGTCTAAACAGCATAGAAGATACAGAGTCAGAGCAGGTGGTGACAGCTCCAAAAAGCACAGAAGATCCCGTGCACTTTGGGACAGCTCCCAACTGCACAGAAGACTCAGTGCAAGTGGGGACAACAGCACCCGACAGCACAGAAGACCCAGTACAGATGCGGACAGCACCCAACAGCACAGAAGACTCAGTGCAGCTGGTGACAGCACCCAACAGTACAGAAGACTCAGTGCAAGTGGGGACAGCACACAACAGCACAGAAGACTCAGTGCAAGTGGGGACAGCACCCAACAGTACAGAAGACTCAGTGCAGCTGGTGACAGCACCCAATAGCACAGAAGACTCAGTGCAAGTGGGGACAGCACCCGACAGCCCAGAAGACTCAGTGCAAGTGGGGACAGCACACAACAGCACAGAAGACTCAGTGCAGGAGGTGACAGCTCCAAAAGGCACAGACAACTCAGAGTCAGAGCAGGTGGTGACAGCACCCAACAGCACAGAAGACTCAGAGCCAGAGCAGGTGGGGACACCACCCAACAGCACAGAAGACTCAGTGCAAGTGGGGACAACAGCACCCAACAACACAGAAGACTCAGTGCAATTGGGGACAGCACCCGACAGCACAGAAGACTCAGTGCAGGTGGGGACAGCACCAAAGAGCACAGAAGACTCTGTGCAGGTGGGAACAACACCCAACAGCACAGAAGACTCAGTGCAAGTGGGGACAGCACCCAACAGTACAGAAGACTTAATGCAGGTTCTGAGAGCTCTAAAAGGCACAGACAACTCAGAGTCAGAGCCGGTAGTGACAGCACCCAACAGTACAGAAGACTCAGTGCAAGTGGGGACAGCACCCAACAGTACAGAAGACTCAGTGCAAGTGGGGACAGCACACAACAGCACAGAAGACTCAGTGCAAGTGGGGACAGCTCCAAACAGCACAGAAGACTCAGTGCAGGTGGTGACAGCTCCCAAGAGTGTAGTGGCATCCAATAATCCAGGAAATGAGGGGCAGCCAAAAAAGGTCCCTACCAACACCCAGGTGAAGAGTGGACAGTCAGGAGATCAAACAAAAGGCACCCGGTCTAAGAACCCGGTGAAGGGGAATCCACCAGAAGACAAGGACAAGACCGGGATCCCATCCAACAACCATGTGAAGAGGGGACAGTCAGAAGAACCAAAGAGTGTGGATCTGCCTAAGGAACCACTCAAGCAGGATCCATTGGAAGTCAAAGACAAGAGGCCACAGTCAGAAAGGCCAAAGAGTGGGGATCTGCCTAAGAAACTCAAGGAGGATCCATCCAAAGTCAAAGACAAGACTGGGGTGGCAGAAAAGAATGGGCTTAAGACCATTCTGCCTAACAACCCAAGAAATGAGGGTCATCAAGGCAAAGATAAAGCTGATCATGAGGTCCTGTCCAGCACCCCAGTGAAGAGGCCACAGTCAAAAGAGCCAAAGAGTGTGGATCTGCCTAAGAAACCACTCAAGGAGGATCCATCAGAAGTCAAAGACAAGACTGGGGTTCAGGCAGTTCTCCCTAACAACCCAAAAAAGGAGGGTCATCAAGGCAAAGATAAAGCTGATGTCCCGTCCAACACTAAGGTGAAAAGAGAAAAGTCAGAAGAGCCAGTAAAGAATGGAGTTCTGCCTTGCAAGCCAACAAAGGAAGGTCATCAAGTCAAAGAGGATACTCCAGTCCCATCCAACACCCATGTAAAGAAGCAACAGTCAAATGAGCCAAAGAGTGTGGATCTGCCTAAAGAACCACTTAAGAAGGATCCATCGGAAGTCAAAGAAGACCAGACTGGGGTGCCAGAAAAGAACGGGGTTTGGACTGGTCTGCCTGACAGACCAAGAAAGGAAAGTCATCAAGGCAAAGACAAGATTGGGCTCCCATCCAACACACAGGTGAAGAGGCCACAGTCCAAAGACCCAGAAAAGATTTGGGATCTGTCTGACAACACAACGAAGGAAGGTCATCAAGGCAAAGACAACACTATGCCAGTCCCGTTCAACATCCAGGTGAAGAGGCCACAGCGAGAAGAGGAAGAAAAGAGAGGGGTTCTGCTTCTTAACAAGCCAAGGAAGCTTAAGGAGTATGAATTGATTGTCCAGACACCAGGAAACACTTCTTCACATGAGGAAGGGGACAAGATACTACAGAAAGAAGACATAGAGACATTGAAAAGTGAGTGCCTTACACCTAGTATAGCCTTCCTTACTCAGAAATGTTCTCATAAATTATAACATTATCCCAGACTTTGCATAATGCTTGCTTCTTGCCCCCAACAAATTGTCTTATAGGCCCACTGATGTAACATTATACATATATAAGTTATAACATTGTCTCAGACTTTGCATAATGCTTGCTTCTTGCCTCAACAAATTGTCCCACAATAGACCCACTGATGGAACATTACATTAGGACACTTATATATTCTCATGAAGTGTATAATTTTTCTTCAGAGGTTAAGAACTGGATGAACTTGAAGATACCATCACTTCTAGCACTCCTGTCCTTTTTGTTTGACCTCCTCAAGACCTGGTCACACAAAGAGGAACCTCCAGATGTGACATCCAACCACAAGGTACATGTGACCAACCTATTATTTGTTTTAACTTCAAGTCTGACTCATTGTTTATTTGAAATTGGTGAGCTTCCAAAATCCTTTTCAGACAAGGACCATTAAGGTTTGTTCTACCTCACATTTCAAAAAGGATTGACTGCAAAAGTATTATTGGTGTCAAAAGCTTATCAGAGATTTCCTATTGTCAGATTAGTAAGGATATTAACGTGACAGTGTGTTTTGATTTGCTTGCTTACGTTTGCTTATTTCAGTACATGGAAATGTAACACAATAGAGTCTGCTTGAAATTGAGATTGAAGGTATTCATCTAATCTCTTCTTGTTCAACTGTAGACGAACACAACCCCATTTCCCGTGGACCAAGATGCACTGGTCTACAATGTGCAGCGCCAAGATGAGGAAGTGCTAGGAGACAGTTGGTATGAGGATGAGGAAGTTCTCGGAGACAGTTCAGATGATGATGATGAAGAGGGACAAGATGGTTACCACCAACCAGTATGGCTGGTAAGACAAACAATCATCCAAATATACAATGTCTAATGTAGGTATTGCTTAATATATCAATTTTGGTTTTCTAAGTTTATCTATATGTACCAGCATTATACTACATCTTTCTAACATGATTGCTGCACTAGATTTTAGATAAGGCACATCTATGCTCAAGTAGATTCATTTTGCATTTAATTCATTTGCAGTTGGTAGGTATGATATTTTGCAGTGAATAGATAGCTGTCATCAGATACAGTCTTTCTTGCAGTAAGGTGGAAGACTCCAACCTTCTCAGCAAACCAGCTAGTCGTTCCACAACCAAAAACTATTTGAACAGGGTAACTTAAATGTGTAATACATGCACACGTGTAGTACATGTCTGTGAGGTCATGTGACTGCTATGCCTTGCAAGCTAGAACGAGAAACTAACAATAATCAAAACATGTGTGATTAAAAAATCTCTGTGTCCATGTATGTTTTAAACCACATCTTCCTGCTACCAATAGTTGTTACAGTTGTCTGTATATACTAGTATGTTGCACAGCATCTCTCTATAGTTGCAATAATTGTTATGCAATGCCTTTGCAAGATTGCAACATTATACTTGACTTTTTGGAGTCTTTATGCAGTGTCAATATGACTGTGCATCCTTCTACATTGATGAGACTGTCAGTGCTTGCACTACTTTTTTTCATTTTGTAGAGTTATAACAGTAACTGAACATCTTTATACAATCTGAGTGTATGGATTGGCTTTTGTATGACATTTGATGTTTGGCGAACAATTTGTAAGAAAATTTTCTTGATAGATGGCATGTCATGATTGTCAGATGTTGCAAAGATACACATGTATGCATAATTGTATGTATCATTCCAAAGTGAAAGCTTCATGCTGTTGATTAGATGATGCATAAACTATATAGGGAAGATAACATTTTAACATAGTACACATATTTGCAGGCCCAATTGGCAGATGACGATGTTGAAGATGAAGACCTGTACTTGGGTTCGGAGGATACAATCGCCTTTCCTGAACCAGGTGCAGCTGAACCAGGTGCAGCTGCAGGTAAGACTGATGTAAAGTTAAACACTCAGATCATGATCAGATTTGCAATGTAATAATTTGAAGGAGGTTGTCTTATTCTTCTGTTTTGTTGAAAGCGTGAATTTCTAAATGTTGTTAGGACGATAAAAAAAAATCATTTTTTCTTGGTAGAGTAAATGGGCTGTGTATAACTAGTATCTTATCTAGCTATGCATAGAATGTGAAAGAAATAGTCTTGTCACAAAGCTGCATTTGTTCCTTGAGTAACAAGTTACATTTTTGTTTCTTTATAACAAGTTACATTTTTGTTTCTTTATAATGTTCAGGTCCAATGTTCTGTAGCGAGGTCCCAGAAAATGGACAAATCGCAGTGGGAGGGGGTGTCAGCATTAGTCCTTTCAACAACCCATCTCAGGTGAGTGTATAATCATGATCTATTCTAAAAAAAAACACGTTCTGCAAATATTTTGTCATGATTAAAAATCACTTTGTCACTGGTGGGACTTTTAATTTGTGTATCTATTTGTGTTTTCAATCTTGATGAGTTTCCATTTCCCACATTAATTTTGTAATTCTAATTCAACACATTCAACAACAGATCTGTGATCACGTGCACCCATCTCATCACTTCCCTACAGCATCCGCACAAGGTAGCATTTTCACTCCACAAACTACTTACTTTCATTTTCATCTTGTATCCTAACAATTATGAACTTGCGGCTTTGTGAACTGTATTCAGTTTAGACTGGCAACTGATTTAAAAGGCAACAGGAGCAATTTCATGAGGTGATAAATGTTATGACTTGCTTTTTAGGACTTCAAAATGCATCTGACATGTCCTTGGAGGAGGCTGTACAGCGCTACAGACGTACTGAAAGAGGTAAGCCAGTCTTATTTAATCTGAACCTTTTGATCTGTTAAGTTGGGGAAATTTGGTAAAGACATACAATAAAGGTCACTGTAATTTTCTATAATGTATAAAACTTATATGATCGGACTTGGATTTATGTTTCTATGATTTCTGTACCTATGTTTATGTTCATGTTAAACTTTATGTTTTGGTGTCTTATAAGCCCATATGGGCTGGGCGACAAAAGTCGCAAGACACGTAAATAAATTCATTCATTCATATATGTCATTGACATTAATGAGTTCACCATGCGTCTAGGACTGCTATCTCCAGGACTTTTATTATTACTGCATTATTAGAAAATATTGTCCTTGATTTCAGGTATGACTGTCACAGTGCTGGGTTTAGGAGAACAGGTTGTATCGCAGAGAAGGGTCTATGATCCTACAACACTACAGGAGCACATTCTGGAGCATACAGCAGAACAAGTAAGAATACATGTATCTCACCCCAAAATCTTTTAAAATCGATCTTTTCAATCTAAAAACTGCATGTCGCTAATTTGTCTACAATGTCTTTTCCTGTGTCCTTTATCTGTGTCAAAGATTTGTGAACATTGTTACATTGACAGCAAGTAATTTTGTGGCTATGTAGAGCATGATTCTTAGTCACCAGGTACACGTAGTTTCAGTGTTTTGAGTTGTGGCTTGCTTACAAGGTATACTTCTAATAAAGATGTGAAAATTTTCCTTCAGGCATTTGCAAAGTATCCCATGGATGGCTTCACAGTGAAGATGCCAGGAGGCAGAACCGTTCCCTTGGAGATGCCCCTTGACCCTTGGAGTTGGACATTTCAGAACATCATCTTTCAGCTTCACCCAGCTAACCACGGGGACAGCACATGGCTGTGGAGAGTCACTCACTCCGAGGTTCGTATTTTGCGTTATTAGGACTCATCAATGATCAACAGTCCTCAATACCAGTATTTTAGATCAGAGAGTGTACACAATGTGTTTCTATCTGATTAGTACATTCCTGTACTGCATGCAACAATTATATGCATACAGCACGAGACATTTGGTGTCAGTGGGTCAGGTGTGAATTGGATTCATGTTAAAATATTATGTTTAGTTGAGGGGCCACATACGGTAACACTACAGAGTGTCTGTTGAATTGTACATTTCAACATCTATGTAACCTTAAGGGTTATTTATCCTGTAAAAATTGATTTTTTAATATAAAAATTGCTTCAAAGCTTGTATATTGAGAGTGATTCAACATTCTTTTTCACATTTCACAGAACCCTGGAGGAGGAAGATATTGCATTGAGGTAAACATGCACAGTGTTGGGAGAGGAGTGACAAGGGTTCCAGACAACCCAGACGACCGAGGTACAATATTCTTCATGGGTTTGATTTGTAGAAATTAAAGATACTGCTACCTGTGATTTAAGAATGATCCCTTCATTGGTATTGATTTTTTAAAACTTTTTGGGGGGATGTTGCCTGTCAAACTCTTTCTGTTTCATATGAGGGTTGACCCACACTATTTTACATTTTAGTATTAAAGTTGTATCTGGACACCCTGGTCTTAATTTTTTATACACTCCTTTCTGTTCAGGATCTGGACTGGACTGCTGTATCTGCCAGGATACACAGCCTGGAGGCACACTGGTGGAGACATCTTGCGGGCACAAATTTCACGAGGTTTGCCTGTTCAAGTGGCTACAGGTACATTGTACATTTCACTACAGTGAAAACCATTAGTTTACGTGTGTAGACTAGTATTCATGTGTAGCATTTATTAAATGAAAAGAGGGCTTAAAGATTTGTAGGGATTAAGTAACTGTTCACCATACAGACTGGTGTTGGTTTGTAACGCATTGTATTTTATAAAGTGGGAGACTGCTAAATGCTTTTAAAAAGTTGGTTAGAATTGCTTAAGAATATATTTTGAAATGCTTTTAATTAATATTATTAATGATGTATAAACTTTAAGATTTCTACTATGACAGCAGTAATTTGGGCATGTTTGTAACCTACGCTTACATGTCATACCTTCATATGTACCCTTTCATTCATTATAAAAAAATGAGATACTCTTTTTCCTCATCATCCAGGAAGACGATGTTTGCCCCCTCTGCAAAAGGAGGATACTGACTGATACATGAAGCATAAGCCGCTCTTTTATGATAATCAGGATCATGTTAAACAGTTACAGTTCGAATGAAAGCTCATCTGTGTTGGTAGAATCCATAGTTATAGAGTTCGACTTGTTCCAACACAAGTAAGAAACTCACCATAATTTTTTACAGTTGTGGATTGTTCTGGAAGAGGCATTAATCTGCATTGTACTACATGTATGTTAATTAATAAAAATGTATATATTCGGTATGCAGACAACAGTGACTATGTACAGTGCAGTAAGTGTACAGTTGCATTTCTCCTATGCTAACAGATCTTTGAGGATTTGAAAAGAAAATTTTAGCATATTTACCAAGTAGGGCTGTTTTGCCTTTGCCTCAATTAAGTTGCCATGATGAAAAACAAGTAAGACATATCCCATGGTCATTAGCGGTCATCTGCACATGGGTGTACAACTTGCTGCTACCATGTGCATAAGATATATCATAGTACATGTTCTAGTATAGTGTGTTAACCAGAAAGGCAGGTTTTGTTGATTAAGTGATACCTCAATCATAATACGCTGCAGTTTTCGGACTTACATGTAAATATTAGACATCACTTTTGTCAATCATAGGTTTGAGGACCTCAAGCTTGTTGTATGTACTAGATACAGTGCAAAGCATGATATAGTTTGAATTTTGCATGAATGTGGAACTGGGAGCAGACTCCATGAACAGATGTTCACTTGCCTACCATGCTATTGCCTGTAGATCAGTTTAGAGTCTGTCAGTTTAGAGTCTGGATGCACAGATATTTCATAAAGATTGGAACATGTAAATTAAATTATTGTACAAGACTTGATGATGATTAATGCATAATGTTTACTGTTTTCTTGGTAAGGATGATCCCTTTGCCAGATTTGGATTATATGGGCCATATGGCTACATGTAAGCACTGGAAATAGATCAGCTTTACAGCTTTACATTAAATCATTGCCTGGAAATAAGAGGATGTTTGGTCTTCTACTACCACTTGACTGATTTGTCAGTTATCATTCTATCACTACCAGGAGATATCCCCTCCCAATGATAGAATCTGATGTATTTATTAAAATTTTGTGGAAGAATTGATGTAACATCCTTATCCTAAGCTAGGCCACCTGAGTCAAATGAGGAAATAGGTTTTCCCAAAAGCACAGCACTTCCATGGGTTTGCTAGAGATTTGAACCCAGAACCTTTGGATTCTGAGTCATTTCCTTAACCACAAGGCCACCTTGCCACCATTTATTTGTTTGCACACAATAAAGTTTGTGATGGAGACACAAAAAGGTATCAGTTTCACATACTAGGCAAGCAGTCCACACTTTGATGCATAAAAAAACTTTGAACTACAGTAGGATAAAGGCTTCACCAACCTATTTCCAAGGTTTAAAGTTGTGAGACATTTTAAAGTAAAACTTGCAATAAACAAGAGGCCAGGATGAAAAGTGGCGGGGAGGATAATATATTTATTATTCCCTCCCTTTACATGTTTAATATGGTGTACTGAAACATGTACAGTTACTGTATTCAGCCAAGAAACATGGCTGAAGTTGGCATTTTCAAAATTTATAAAATTGATAACTATTATAGTTACTGTAGTTGTTTAAATCTCATTTTTAACTATTGGTCTGTTTATATTCAATTTTAACCCCACCCCTAAGGTTTTACAAAGTTTTATCTATAAGTCACAGCATAATGTTGCAGTCAAGGCTATCCAACAATGGAGTCATTTTCTTCTGTCCAATTGCTTTGCTTGCCGTGACATGCTACACTGCACACCAGCAACAGGTAAGTAGAGGTGTTGTATTGCTCTTGGCTTTGTGGGGGTGTATAGTTTCTTCTGAGCCATTGACTAAGTAAATAGCGCCCCCAGGGCAGAGTGCACACGACACACTGTAAAGTCACCTGTATAGCCATTGTTGACCAATGAGTGATTAGACAATCCATGTATTAAGTGTTTGAATTTCTTTTTCATGTTTTGAATGCAAGTTCTTACCTTAAGAATTTTGCTTAGCTTTAAACTTGAACGCCACCGTTGGTGACAGGTATCTCCGTATGCACAATTGGCAGTGATATCACCTTCCAAATAAACAGGCAGGGGATCTGGAGTTAGTTTCACTTTCAGTATTTTGGTGCAAACATACAAAGGTCACTACATGTTATGCTGCACTTTGGTATTCAACAATCAGAAAACTCGGGGTTCAAAATAGCCGCGCGTGCAAGGCAAGGATTCATGGGAACTGTCAGGTGTTCATCACGAGATCACTGACAGTCTCGTGAGTTGTGGCGCAGTACAAAATAAGGTACGCACTGCAAGGCGCTTCTTTTGTCTCACCTTTTTTTGGTTTTTGACATTGTTTTGAAGACGAATACCCTTACAATAATATCTTAATGATCATAAAATCTTCCTGTTTTGTAGAATTGGTGAGAAAGGACTGGTGAATTTCACAGGTCAGTCCCATATCCCTTGTTATTGGAAGCTGTATGTTACACCATTATTTAGCACTTACATTTAGAGTTGTGAATGCTAGGATAAAGATTGGAAAATTTCAGTTTTAATTCCTATGTTAAGTTAAGATTTCATGTGGAACTGAACTCACATTGACTAGAGGATATGATTCAGGTATGATTGTTGATGGATGGCATAAAATAATGGTCAAAAGATTTTTTTTTAATCCACTGTTGCGGTCACTGTGGTAAACTAAACAAACAAAATGGTGGCCATAGATGATAGTACACCTATTACCTGTACACTCCAATTGTACCTTTTGCTGCATAATGCAGTCAGGTATTTTGAGCTTAGTGGCATATAGTTAAGAACAGATCTTTTTCTGGCATACATTAGCAAGGCTATGAAAAGCTCATACATGATCCGCCCAAAAGCAGTTACTCAAGCAACTGGATATGATTTTGAAAACGTCAGACGTTTCAGCTAGTATCCACTAGCTTTCGTCAGTGACTGAGAGACCAGAGGGGAATGGCAGGTTTATAAGCACCCATAGTACCCATAAGTACCTGGATGTCTAACCTTCATCGACGCCCTCATACATGACTGGACTCCTGCCTGGACTCCTGCCCTCACTAAAGCCCCTGAGGAACGCAGCCTTGAGCGTGTTCAAAGGCGGGCTTGCCGCATCATCCTGGGAACTACCTACACAGGATATGACTACGCACTACAACACCTCGGACTGTCATCACTTGCCGAGAGAAGAGAACTGTTGTGTGTGAAGTTTGCTAGGACACTTGTGCGGTCAGAGTACAGAGACTGGCTACCTCCACAGAGATCACAAATAACTGGCCGTAGTACTAGAAACAGCGAGATGCTAGACTGTCCGAGAGCAAGAACAAATAGATATAAGAACTCGCCCATACCGTTTATGGTCCAGCTCCTCAATAACTATGGACTGAACCCCTGACTGTTGTTTTTCTAATATGTAGTACACTGTTTCTGTATCAAATGTTGTCCAGGAAATTTATAATGTATGGAACATGTATTTTTATTGGTTTGTTAATCGTACGCCTATATTGATTGCAAACCTGTAGTTTTTAATATACTAATGTTTTGTAAATTGGTTTACAATTCAGTTGTTTTTAACTGCGAAGAACCAATAAATCCATCTTGAATCTTGAATTGAATGATCATATATGACATTTTATGTCTTCAAGTTTGTAAAAGCATGTATTTTAATTGCAGAAAAAAATGGCGGAAACACACAAGGAAAAGCTACGGAAGCACCACTGTCGACTTAAGGGCACCATTCGTGCACACCACATCACCGGCAGTCTTAAAGAAAAGGGTGTTTTGACTGACGATGCTGTGGATAAAATCTACGACGAGGCCACCGATGAAAAACGGACCGAACGGCTGCTGTTTATCCTTGCTAAGATTCTTAGTAAGAAACGTTTGTCATATGCCTTTGAAGCTTTCATACAGTCCCTGAAGGAGGTCCAAGAACATGGAACATGCCTGTATGAAGACATCGTACAACTCCTGGAGGGAGCTGATCCTGACCAAGGTAAGGAAAATGTATTTTAGTGTACCTAATGTAAAGTACATGCAAATAATATATCAATTGAAAGTTCATTGCAAGTTCTTGCCCAGGGACTAATTGCAAGACATGTTAGTACATTCTGATGAAAATAAAAGGATGGACAGTGGATAACAATATGGCATGTGGCTACTCTATTGCGGGCGTAACAGATTGTGGCTTCTTGGAAGCCACCTATGCCACCTGTTCTTTGTGTGGGCTACCAAACAGAAGCAAATAAAACTTTGGCATTGGGCCAAAAATAACATTGGGTACCAGCAGTGCCAGGTAAAGGCATTATTTCACCATGGGAAAGGCAATAATATTTACATGTTAGTTGAATATTGATAATATTTTGCTAAAACATTAACATTGGTGAATGTGATCGATGGACTTTTTGATGCTTAGACAGTAGCTTCAATGTTTGTGATATTTAAGACTGCTCATGACTGTCCATGACAAACATGCCTGTTTACTTCTATATGGCGTGACCAGTATTAACTTTCAATACCCCCTTGTAGTTGCCAATACCCCATACAGTGCTTCTTTGTAACAATTGTTCTCAAAACCCTCATAGGCCCCGTTCATGATTGGAAATGTGTTTCAGTTTGGCCACGAACTGAATTGATAATATGGAATACATTTTGCGTCTGCGATTCAAAACTTGAACCCGGCCCTGCTGCAAACAAACAGTTTCATGCCTCGAATTGACTAAGTCTTGTGTTTCATATGTATACCACAATTTCTTTTTACACTTCCTGGGAACTAGACTTGAAGTTGTAAGGCAGCGAGTTTACGCACGTGCAGGCATGTGGTCGGCCGTCCCCGACTCATGCCTTCCCACTATCCCACCACTGCCCCAATGCCCCCGTTGGGCTACCACTCGCCCGCACGCCTAGGGTAGGTTCCAATCCACACCATCCAGTTTCCTCTGGATCTCCTGATTTCCCCAAGTCAATATCAGGACTCCTGTTTTCTTTGTTGACCGATAATTAGAACTCGATAATAAAAATTATGAATATTGTACGATTCAAGTAGAATTTCCCACGGTACAAAAAGCCATGAAATATGGCCGATCCCACATACCCGGGTGTATGACGTCAACCCGGAATGATTCACTTTCGTGCGTTCATGATTACAATTTGACGAATGCAAATCATTATAAAGTGCTTCAGACCACCTCGCGAGGTAGCTCAAAATAAAGCGCAACGGAACCGAGATGGAGCGTTCCCAAATAATTTCTTGTTTTGAATCAAACTGAAACACATTTTGAGTCATGAACTGGGCCATAGCCATAGGGTACTTTTCACTAGAAAATATTCTGGAAACCTCATACATCACTTTTTAGTAACAAGTGTTCTTAAAAACCCCAGTGTCTACATGAATGTGAATAGAGCCAATAAAAGACAAGCATCATTATGTTAACTTTTTGGCTTGGCTTGTCTGTCTATCTGTCTGTGTTTGTTTCTGATGATGGTAGTTAAAATTACAACATTTTGAAGAGATTTTTATTCTAAACCCTGCAGGAACAGATGAAGACAAGTGGACTCATGTTCAATCACAGATCAAAGAGTATATAGCCAAACACCTGGACCCAAAGAAAGCCTGTGATGATCTCACTAAGTCCTATATCCTGACAGAAGAAGAATCAAACATCATCCAAGAAGAGAAAACCCGATTTGAAAAGGCCAAAAGTCTTCTTTGCGTACTATCCACTAAAGGACAAAGTGCCTTCTTTGCCCTTTGTAGGGTGTTGCATGCCCAGGGCCGGAACGACATTGTATCTTTCCTTATTCAGGCATCAGTGGGTGATACTTTGAAACCAGTGACAAATGTTGCAGAGCCAGTTAAGCACTTTCTGAAAACAAATGATGCCACAAAAGTGGAGCAGGCTCTTGGGAATTCGAATAACCCATCCAACATCGTAGTGTCTGGCATCCCCAAATCTGGAAAAACCCAGATAACACGGTGGAAAGCCAAGCAGTTCCGTGATCACCACCCCACAGCTCTGGTTTGGGCCCTGGATGGACAGAACAGTCAGACTCTCCTGGCAAGCAAGAGGAAGCTCCTTGAAGCACTGAATGCTCAAGTGACAGATGAAGAAGACGTCACTAAAGTAGACGAGCGTCTAGACCAAGCCCTACAGAACCGGGGGACTCGAGTCCTGCTGATTGTGCATGACCTTGAAGATGGAACCCTCCTGACTCCGACCTTTCTGAGAGAGAGGATCCAGTCTAGAGTGATGATTCTCACAAGTCAAGAAGAGCTCTAGTATCACATGTTGTGGAGTTCTCAGTGTCTAGTTGTCCTATTAGGCGGATAGAATCTACAGTTCATATGTGTTATGTTATTATGGGTTCACCACACCACGAAGTGGTGGTGAACCCATATTGCTTTTTCTGATGTTTCTTCTCCTCCTTCTCCTCCTTCTTCTTCTTCTCCTGCCATTTTTTAAATGGATTCAGCTTCTTCATTTTAGGGCCAAAGGTCCTGAAATTTGGTATGGAGGTACAGTGGGCAAATACCCCTAGGCGTTTTTTAAATTATTGTGATACAGGCTTTTAGAATGGTTTTATTTGAGTTTTTTGGCTGTGTTATAGCAAATGTATTACTGTGTTAGTGTGCCGTGTTTACCACGTCTGGGCATGAGTCATCACAATGGAATGCAGGGCATCAACCAATAGGCATGCAGCTTTCCTCTATACTTCTTGCTGATTGGCTGTTGGGATTTAACTTGATTAACACCTGCACAGAGCATTTCCACCTGCTCAGAGCATTTCTTGCTGATTGGCTGTTGGGATTTAACTTGATTAACACCTGCACAGAGCATTTCCATACTGACAGTATGTCTGTATTCAAGTGTTTTGGTAGGTATTTCAAGCTTTTCTGCTCCAGCATTGGAATGCGGGGCATGAACGTTTTTTATTTTATTTTGAAAATCAACAGTTTGCATTATGCAATTAAAAATCCTAACCAATAAAGTAGGGAATAGCTATCCAACTGTTGTTTTAGTTGTATGTTATATCAATGTAAATCATTGTTTTCCCTTGTGTTTCTCATTCTTTCCCTGCCATGTGGTAAAATGTGGTAAACCCATCGCTGTATTTGCTTCAAAGCAAATATTGGCCTTTCTAGTTATTATTAATATCATAATGTTATTCAACATACATTGTATTCCTTTTCACGTTTCACAGAACCCTGCAGGAGGAAGGTATTCTGTAGAGGTGAACATGCATGTATAGTGTGGGGAGAAGAGTGACAAGGATACTGACTGATACATGAAGCATCAACCACTCTTTTATGATAATCAGGATCATGTTACATGAAGCATCAACTGCTCTTTTATGATAATAAGGATCATGTTACATGAAGCATCAACTGCTCTTTTATGATAATAAGGATCATGTTACATGAAGCATCAACTGCTCTTTTATGATAATAAGGATCATGTTACATGAAGCATCAACTGCTCTTTTATGATAATCAGGATCCTGATAATAATAACATTTAAATGTTGTAGATTGTTCTGGAAGAGGCATTGATCTGCATTGTACATGTACATGTAATTGTATATATTAATTATATTCGGTATGCAAGTAGCAGTGACTATATATATATATATTATATATTATGTACAGTGCAGTAAGTGTACAGTAACTGTTGTATTTCTCCTACGCTAACAGATCTTATAGGATTTGAAAAGAAAATTTTAGCATATTTACCAAGTAGGGCAGTTTTGCCTTTGCATCAATTAAGGTGCCATGATGAAAAACAAGTAAGACATATCCCATGGTCATTAGAGTTCATCTTCTCATGGATGTACATGTACAACTTAGCTGCTACCATGTGCATATGATAGTGCTACAATGTGGTAGTGTGTTTACCAGAAAGGTAGGTTTTGTTGGTGAAGTGATACGGTAACCTTAATCATAATACGCTGCAGTTTTCGGACTTAAATATTAGATTATTACTTTTGTCAATCATGGGTTTGAGGACCTAAAGCTTGTTGTGTGTACTAGATACAGTGCATAGCATGATATAGTTTAAATTTTGCATGAATGTGGAACTGGGAGCAGACTCCATGAACAGATGTTCACTTGCCTACCCTGCTATTGCCTGTAGATCAGTTGTCATTCTGTCAGTTTAGAGTCTGGATGCACAGATATTTCATAAAGATTGGAACATGTAAATTAAATTATTGTACAAGACTTGATGATGATAAGTGCACAATGTTTTACTGTTTTCTTGGTAAGGATGATCCCTTTGCAATGGCCAGATTTGGATTATATGGGCCATATGGCTACATGTTAGCACTGGAAATAGATCAGCTTTACAGCTTTACATTAAATCATTGCCTGGAAAAAAGAGAATGTTTGGTCTTCTACTGACACTTGCCTAATTTGTCATCAGTTATCTAACAGATAATGTCTAGATGTGGTGACTGTCATAATGATCCCGAATTGCCAACTTTATCACCAGGCAGCATTCTACCACTACCAGGAGATATGCCCTCCCCATGATAGATGTATTTCTTAAAATTTTGTGGAAGGATTGGTGTAACATCCTTATCCAAAGCCAGGTCACTTGAGTCAAATGAGGAAATAGGTTTTTCCCAAAAGCACAGCACTTCCATGGGTTTGCCAGAGATTTGAACCCAGAACCTTTGGATTCTGAGTCATTTCCTTAACCACAAGGCCACCTTGCCACCATTCATTTGTTTGTACACAATAAAGTTTGTGATGGAGACACAAAAAGGTATCAGTTTCACATACTAGGCAAGCAGTCCACACTTTGATGCATAAAACAAAGCTTTCAACTGCAGTAGGATAAAGACTTCACCAACCTATTTCCAAGGTTTGAAGTTGTGAGACATTTTAAAGTAAAACTTGCAATAAACAAGACGACAGGACGAAAAGAGGCAGGGAGGATATTATTCCCTCCCTTTACATGTTTAACACAGAGAAAGGAGTAACTCGAAGGTTGACTCTGACCCCCGGGAATCGAACCCACACCGCTCGCGCCGCGTGTCAGCTCACAACCAGCGCACAAACCGATTCACATCTACTGTATTCAGCCAAGAAACATGGCTGAAGTTGACATTTTCGAAATTCATAAAACTGTTTTGATAACTATATTTAATAGTTACTGTAGTTGTTAAAGTCTCATTTTTTGATCGGTCTGTTTAAATTGTATTTTAGCCCCTTCCCTAAAGTTTTGTCTATGAGTCACAGCATAATGTTGCAGTCAAGGCCATCCAACAATGGAGTCATTTTCTTCTGTCCAATTGCTTTGCTTGCCGTGACATGCTACACTGCACACTAGCAACAGGTAACTACAGGTGTTGTATTGCTCTTGGCTTTGTGGGGGTCTATACTTCCTTCTGAGCCATTGACTAAGTAAATAGCGCCCCCAGGGCAGAGTGCACACGACACACTAAAGTCACCTGTATAGCAATTGTTGACCAAATGAGTGAATAGACAATCCACGTATTAAGACGTGTTTGAATTTCTTTTTCATGTTTTGAATGCAAGTTCTTATGTTAAGAATTTCGCTTAGCTTTAAACTTGAACGCCACTGTTGGTGAATTTCAAAGGTATCTCCGTATGCACAATTAGCAGTGATATCACCTTCCAAATAAACAGGCAGGGGATCCAGAGTTAGTTTCACTTTCAGTATTTTGGTGCAAACATACAAAGGTCACCCCATGTTATGCTGCACTTTGGTATTCAACAATGGCGGAGAAAACTCGGGGTTCAAAAATAGCCGCGCGTGCAAGGCAAGGATTCATGGGAACTGTCACGTGCCCATCACGAGATCACTCAGTCTCGTGAGTTGTGGCGCAGCACAAATTCAGGCAGGTATGCACTGCAAGGTGCTTCTTTTGTCTCACCTTTTTTTTGGCTTTTGACATTGTTTTGAAGACAAATACCCTTGCAATAACATCTTAATAATCATAAAATCTTCCTGTTTTGTAGAATTGGTGAGAAAGGACTGGTGAATTTCACAGGTCAGTCCCATATCACTTGTTATTGGAAGCTGTATGTTACACCATTATTTAGCACTTACATTTAGAGTTGTGAATGCTAGGATAAAGATTGGAAAATTTCTGTTTTAATTCCTATGTTAAGTTAAGATTTCATGTGGAACTGAACTCACATTGACTAGAGGATATGATTCAGGTATGATTGTTGATGGATGGCTTAAAATAATGGTCAAAAGATTTTTTTTAAGCCACTGTTGCGGTCACTGTGGTAAACTAAACAAACAAAATGGTGGCCATAGATGATAGTACACCTATTACCTGTACACTCCAATTGTACCTTTTGCTGCATAATGCAGTCAGGTATTTTGAGCTTAGTGGCATATCGTTAAGAACAGATCTTTTTCTGGCATACATCAGCAAGGGTATGAAAAGCTCAGACATGATCATATATGACATTTTATGTCTTCAAGTTTGTAAAAACATGTATTTAAATTGCAGAAAAAAATGGAGGAAACACACAAGGAAAAGCTACGGAAGAACCACTGCCGGCTTAAGGGCACCATTCGTACGCAACACATCGCCGGCAGTCTTAAAGAAAAGGGCGTTTTGACTGACGATGATGTGGATAGAATCAACAACGAGGCCACCGATGAAAAACGGACCGAACGGCTGCTGTTTATCCTTGCTAGACGTTCGTCATCTGCCTTTGAAGCTTTCATACAGTCCCTGAGGGAGGTCCGAGAACAAGGAACATGCCTGTATGAAGACATCGTACAACTCCTGGAGGGAGCTGATCCTAACCAAGGTAAGGAAAATGTATTTTAGTGTACCTAATATAAAGTAACATGCAAATAATATATCAATTGAAAGTTCATTGCAAGTTCTTGCCAAGAGACCAATTGCAAGACATGTTTAACTTAGTACATGTAGCATGAAAATAAAAAGGATGGACAATATGGCATGTGACTAATGTCTAATATTCTAAATTTTGACACTAAATTCAAACATATTATTAGTACAATGTATGTTCATTGTTGTTCAGGAATTACTGGAGATCAATAGATTTTTAAGCTTTTTTTTGCAATGATTGCATGATTAACATATAACATATAATTGTACAAATCTATTCCATGACAGATTTTCACATCACGATTAAACTTCAATGTTGTAATCAAACTCTACTAAAGGTATTTTAAGCCTTAAGTTTTTCATACTTGCTCCTTTTTTGTTGCCTTCTAGATATTTGCTTATGGCTAAATTGTTTAAAAGAGGTTCAAATGGTGGCTTCAAAACTAGTGGGCATATTACACAGTGGCTTCTTGGAAGCCAGCTTCTTTGTGTGGGCTACCAAACAAGCAAATATAACTTTGGCATTCGGCCAAAAATAACATTGGGTACCAGCAGTGTCAGGTAAAGGCATTGTTTCACCATGGGAAAGGCAATAATATTTACATGTTAGTTGAATATTGATAATATTTTGCTAAAACATTTACATTGGTGAATGTGATCGATGGACTTTTTGATGCTTAGACAGTAACTTGTGCTAATGTGCTAGTAACTAGTAAGTTAAACAATGTTTGTGGTATTAAAAGACTGTTTATGTAGAACATGCCTGTTCACAGTTCTATGCGGCGGGGCACATATGGCGGGACCTGTATCAACTTTCAATACCCCCATGTACATGTAGTTGCCAATACCCCATCTTTGTAACAATTGTTCTCAAAACCCTCATAGGCCCCGTTCATGATTGGAAATGTGTTTCGGTATGGCCATGAACTGAATTGATATGGAATACATTTTGCGTCTGCGATTCAAAACTTGAACCTCCACTGGAAACAAACAGTTTCACGCCTCGAATTGAGTTGTGTTTCATATGTATACCAGTGTCAAGTTCTTTTTACACTTCCTGGGAACTTGACTCGTAAGGCAGCGAGTTTACGCACGTACAGGCATGTGGTCGGCCGTCCCCGACTCATGCCTTCCCACTATCCCACCACTGCCCCAATGCCCCTGTTGGGCTACCACTCGCCCGCACGCCTAGGGTAGGTTCCAATCCATGCCATCCAGTTTCCTCTGGATCTCCTGATTTCCCCAAGTCATTATCAGACCTCCCGTTTCCTCTGTTGACCGATAATTAGAACTTGATAATAAAAATTATCAAGATTGTACGATTCAAGTAGAATTTCCCACGGTACAAAAAGCCATGAAATATGGCCGATCCCACATACCGGGGTGTATGTCGTCAACCCGGACACATGCGTTCATAATTACAATTTGACAAATGCAAATCATTATAAAGTGCTTCAGACCATCTCACAAGGTGGCTCAAAATAAAGCACAACAGAACCGAGATTCATGTTCCCAAATAATTATTTTCTCTTTTCGAATTAAACTGAAACACATTTTTAACCATGAACTGGGTCATAGCCATAGGGTACTTTTCACTAGAAAATATTCTGGAAACCTCATACATCACTTTTTAGTAACAAGTGTTCTTAAAAACCCCAACGTCTACATGAATGTGAATAGAGCCAATAAAAGACAAGCATCATTATGTTAACTTTTTGGCTTGGCTTGTCTGTCTATCCGTCTGTGTTTGTTTCTGATGATGGTAGTTAAAATTACAACATTTTGAAGAGATTTTTATTCTAAACCCTGCAGGAACAGATGAAGATAAGAAGTGGATCCATGTTCGATCAAAGATCAAGGAGTATATAGCCAAACACCTGGACCCAAAGAAAGCCTGTGATGATCTCACTAAGTCCCATATCCTGACAGAAGAAGTAGCAGATATCATCCAAGAAGAAAAAGAGCCATTCGAAAGGGCCATGAGTCTGCTGAGTGTACTCCCCACCACTAAAGGACAAAGTGCCTTCCTTGCCCTTTGTAGGGTGTTGCATGCCCAGGGCCTTGAGGACATTGTATCTTTCCTTAATCGGGCATCAGTGGGTGATACTTTGAAACCAGTGACAAATGTTCCAGAGCCAGTTGAGTACTTTCTAGAAACAACTGATGCCACAAACGTGGAGCAGGCTCTTCAGAATTCGAATAACCCATCCACCATCGTTGTGGGTGGCATCCCCAAGTCTGGGAAAACCCAGATCACACGGAGGATAGCCAAGAAGTTCCGTCATCACCACCCCACAGCTGTGGTTTGGGCCCTAGATGGACAGAACAGGCAGACTCTCCTGGCAAGCATGAGAAAGCTCCTTGAAGCACTGAATGCTGAGGTGACAGATGAAGAAGACATCACTGAAGTAGACAAGTGTCTAGACCAAGCCCTACAGAACCGGGGGACTCCAGTCCTGCTGATCGTGGATGACCTTGAAGATGGAACCCTCCTGACTCCGACCTTGCTGAGAGAGAGGATCCAGTCTAGAGTGATGATTCCCACACCTCAAGAAGAGCTCCAGCTTCCAGCTGAGGCTGATGTTCTTCACATCTCAGTCAGTGGATTCAGCACTGAGGAAGTGGAAATGTTCTTTGAAGCAAACAAGCCAAAAAAGTACAAGCCAAACCAAGAGAACAAGCCAAATAAAGAGGACAAGCCAAAAGAAGAGTACCAACATGCATTTCTGGAGGCCCTGAATGAGGCCTTCAATCATCTCCCCCTGACTTGGGCTTCAGCTCTTCAATTCATGAAAATCAGCCACACCAGCCTGGAAAACTTTGTAGCACAGCTGAAGGAAGGAAATACTGTCATGGATATACAGGAAGAAATGAAGCGGTTAGTTAGTTTTTTTTCTTAATTTTTGTTAATGCTGATGTTGTCTTCTTTCTTTCTTTCTTTCTTTCTTTCTTTCTTTCTTTTTCTTTCTTTTTCTTTCTTTCTTTCTTTCTTTCTTTCTTTCTTTCTTTCTTTCTTATTTATTTATTTATTTATTTATTTATTTCAGGTAAAAAAAGTACTCATAAAAACAATACATCTTATTTGTGATTTTAATATTTCTTTTTCTTGAACCACAAGTTAAAATACTCCAGTCTTAGTGTGACTTCACATGCCCACTTGAACTTCTGTTTTAGGTGGATGCTGCCACATTATGAGAAGTTTGACCCTGCTGAAGAAAGCATGCAGCTGAGGTCAGCTATGTCCAAGCTGTCATCTACATGCTGGGAGTCCACAAGCAAGAAAAGTTCAGATGGTATGTGCCAATTAAGAGTTTAAATCCCAATGTTAGTAACTTACAACATAACAATTCTGGGACATGTTATTGTCAACAAACAAGTGAATTGTTAATGATTATAATTAATAAGACAGTATGACCATCATGATGATAACAGACACTGTATGCCTGAGATGGACAGAACATTCGGTCTTGCTGCATTTCAAAGTTTTCCGAATATAAGACCTAAGACCTCAGCACACTTAACAATTTGATTGCAAGTTCAGTGATACTGTAATGTGGCTAATGCCTATATTCAATGACGAATAATAACAAATTTTTAATTGTAGATAGTTTTATATTTCTGAGGATAAAGTTGTAATAGTTAATTTGGCATTTTTGAGACTATGTGACTACTATCGGTATACCCACAACTAGTGATTTTATAGTTGTAACATTTTGTAATTACACTAAGTTTGGCACACTATTCAGCAAAATATCAGATGATCATGTGAGAGTTGGTACGATAATCTACCAAAACATCAAACCTAACTGATAGTTTTTGTCCAACCATCATTTTCAGGATTCCACTCATATGGCTATGTACTGCCAGCATCCTCAGCAAAGGAGAAGTCCAACCCTTCTTCACACACACAGAGCAATCCAGAAGTCGATGTGGACACTCTGCACCCTCAAGCACCTAACGATCAGCCAGTCAGCAGAGGAGACAGCACCATTCCCAAGCTTGGGAACAGCAAGGATAGGCATGAAGAAGAAAAACATGAAACTACTTTGGCTGAGTGTGAAGACAACGACAAGACATCTGATGGCACAGCAAGGGAAATCAACATAACACCTAGCACAGGCCCGACGTCAGCCCAATGTCAAGAAGTGCCGCCATGTCGTCAACTGAGTCAAGAAGAGCCAACTTCTGCAAGCAACATCCCCATCCCTGTCCTCGAGAGAGCTGTGGTTCCCCCTGACATAGATGGGATACAGACAACTCATGTTGCTACCCGAAGTACAGAACATGCAGACACTGTCCAAGAACGGGTGGGTGGCAGTCTTGAAAACCTGTCACATGAAACCTCAGCTGAAAGTGAGCACGGCAAAGTTTCAGAATATGCAGCAGCTCTGCCAGTGGAGGAACCCAGGCGTGGCAGCTATGGAGCTTCCACGGAAGCCCAAAGTTTTGGATCAAGTCATTGTACAATGACAGCAAATGCTCCTTCTTTACAGTCATCATTAGCAACTGCATCTCAAGTCAAGCAGTGCTCTCGTAAGCATGCACCTACCTCCGAAATGGACAGTACAAGTTCTGAAGAGGTTCCACTGACCACACCACCATCAGAAAGAGATGCTCCGGATCCAAACATTATGGCACAACAACAAGACATGGCTGCAGAGAACATTGACAACTCAACCCAGCTTAAAGGTCCATTGCCTACAGCCTGCATTGAAGGGGGGATTGAAGCTGAAGGTGCAGTTGGTGGAAGATGCTCTCCAAACCCATCGCAGGCTGCCGCACAGGATCAAACTACACCCAGCTGTCACAGTAGTGGTAGGACAAGCATCCCGTGTCGTGAAGTACAAAACGTGAGCAGGGCATTGTCGATCGGTAGCGGATGGGATCTGGTACGACGTCGCCGTACAGAAATTGCAAGGCGCATAAAGCCAGACCTTGCCTGCGAGTACTTGAGAAATGCAAACGTGCTGACAGAGGATGAGTGCAGAGGAATTGTTGAAGATGAAGACGAAGATGAAGACAAAGCCACAAGCCTACTCTGCATACTTCCAGCTAAAGGCCAAGAGGCACTCCTGGCATTCTGTGCAGCACTTAGAGATCAAAGCCTTGACGACATTGCAGCTCTGATTACTGCGTCTCAAGTCAGTGACATTCTAAGACCAATTACAAATGTTCCAGACCCAGTGAACAACTTTTTCCCAACACATGATGCTAACATTGTCCGTAGGGCTGTAGAGGCTGTAACTCAGCACATCATTCTCGTGTGCGAAGTTGCTGGGTCAGGCAAGACCCAGATCGCACGGTGGATAGCCAAGCAGTTCCTTCTTCACCACCCCACAGCTGTGGTTTGGGCCCTGGATGGACAGAACAGTCAGACTCTCCTGGCAAGCATGAGGAAGCTCCTTGAAGCACTGAATGCTCAAGTGACAGATGAAGAAGACATCACTAAAGTAGACGAGTGTCTAGACCGGGCCCTACAGAACCGGGGGACTCCAGTCCTGCGGATCGTGGATGACCTTGAAGATGGAACCCTCCTGACTCTAACTCCGACCTTGCTGAGAGAGAGGATCCAGTCCAGGGTGCTGATTCTCGCACATCAAGAAGAGCTCCAGCTTCCAGACGAAACCCCTTGGCCATGCAACTTAGAAGGTGGTTTTCAAACGTGGGAAGGAGTAAGGTTCTTTCAAACGGTTCTGGAGGAAGCACATTACCAGGTTAATGACTTGCAAGGCATAGCTGATGCATTTAATGGCCGCCCGTTGGGACTTGCAGCGGCTCTTGAATTCATGCGCAACACTCACACCAGCCCGGAACATTACCTGTTCCTGCTGAAGGAAGAACAAACTGCATGGATCCTCCAGGAAGAAGCCCAAAGGTTAGTTTACATATTAATACAAAACAAAACAGTCTCTATATTGTAATTCCATTACTAATTATCAGATTGAGTATACATTGAACTGAAAATACATGTACCATAATGAACTGGATGTTATCGTCTGATTACTCTTGTTTAATAAAAAGTGACTTTTTTTACTGTTTCTGCAGGTTTATGGCTCAGCATTACAACAAGTTCAACGAAAGAAATCTCCATCCAGTGTTCCAAGCTGCTCACAACAAAGTGAGAGGTCGAAGAGACACGTCCAAGACAGATGAAGATACAAAGGAGACTTGCCTTGAATCACCAAGTGAATACACTGATGATACAACTTCCAGTGCCCAAGATGAGCAAGATGAGTCCCCAGAAGGTCAAGAAGAAGAAGAAGAAAGGATGAGAGATGAAGGTGAAGGAGAAAGGCCAACAATTGGATCCCAAACCCAGTTAGAGGAGGCTGTCTCGGCATTGCAGCTTCAAGAAGAGGCAGTCGAAAGCCACTCTCCAGATGACCAGGATACACAGTCCTTGTCCAGTTCACTCGCAGCATTGGCAAGAAGTACCGATGGTTCAGAGCTTGAGGGAGCAGTCGGTGGCATCTTCTCTCCTCCATCACATACAACTTCAGAAGAAGAAGAACAGAAGATGAGAGATGAAACCCAGTCAGAGGCGGCTGCCTCCGCATTGTGGTTTCAGGAAGAGGCGATCGACAGCCACTCTTCAGATGACCAGCTTGAGGGAGCAGTCGGTGGCATCCTCTCTCCTCCTCGATCACGTACAGCTTCGGGTTTGCCTAGTGCTCTGGCCAGTATTCCTCCCCCGGGGCCCAACTATGCAAGACTCGCTGTACCTTGTCCTCTGGTACAACCTGCAACAAGGATTTTGTGCCAGATTCTGCGTTTGCCAGAACCAGACATTCAGGTATGTAAAATGACAGTAATTGACTTGAAACCACAAAATTAATATATTACAATGTACTTTGTAATTTTATAAGCTTCTTTTGAAATTCAAATTCATTGACTGTAAGATTAAACAGTGCATGATAATGTATCCTTGTTGTGTAACAAAACTTTCTAGTTCAATTTGTCATTTATCCAATGGCATCTATTTGACTTTTTCAGCAGGCTATGGAGAACCTGTCATGCTCTGGACCACCAGGACTTATTGTGCTTGAGGTATGAAGTACTCTTAGATCTATTTTGATCCTCTAGATTTTTGAGTTAAAGAAAGTCTAAACAATTTTATGCATTTTGTTCAATTCTTCATTTCTGATGATGAAACTTGTGTTCTTGTTTCAATTCTAGAATCAAGAGTTCCCGATGTTACCATCTGCTGGTCAGCTAGGCCAAGAACAGGCAATGGGTAAGTCAATTTTATTAGATATTGTAATAAAGATAAATTGTAAATTCTGGCAAAAAATTGGAATTTCAGTTGGTAGATTATACTTGGTAGGACCTGGTGTAAGTAAAAGAAACCTCAGTGGCATTATATGAAAATGTACACATAGGTTTGTTGTCTGATAGAAGTGACTTTTTCATTGGTGTAGTACATGTAGGATTGTACATGTCAGATTTTATTTTGTCAAGTGAAAGGAAAACTCTAAATAAACAGACTATGTATTATTGTGGAGACAGTATATTACAACAACAAGAAATTATTGTACTGTCAGTTGTGAAACAAAATGTTAACTGCTGATTAAAGAGCATCTTTAGGGACTGCCATTGTATATATAGGGGTAAGGCACTATGTAATTTGTTTAACTCTATCCAATTTTCAGGTTCTGTGCTTGTGTTCAGCCCTGCATCTGAACAGCTGATTGCTACAGAACAAGGCCAGCCACACCAGTTTCTTTGGGACATTGCCTCCAGGCCTGGCCTGACCAGAGAAGTATGATGTTTGACTATTAAATTCTATAGAACAGTTAAAGTCAGTACCATTCCAAAGATGAAGGAATTCTAGGCCAAATAAAATTTAGGAATCTTTTTGTATTATTGGATTAGGTGTAACCAATGATGAAGTTGGCAACATCTCTATGTACAAAGCTATGTTTACATGTACATTGTATTGTATATTGAACCTTTTGGAGCAAAAAATACATAAGAATTTTATTTTTACTCAGTTTATTATTTTTAAAAACTTTCCATACGCTCAGGTGTTTGAGCACGTCCTGGATTCCAGCTTCACCTTCCGGTACTATGTGCCCAGACGCCCTCCTGAGAGCCTGCCCTTTGTGCCACGTGATGCCAGGATTGGGATGGGAACTATCGTCCAGGCTGTGGCCGCATCAGAAGGGAACCATTGGGCCTGGAGGATCACATCCACACCAACTGGAATGGAGTTGGAATTTGTGAGTCATTTTATCATCTATAATTTTGTAAATCAGAATTTTGTATGATGTATTAAATCAAATACGTTCGGTACAATCATGATCAAGTTATTATAAATTATGGCCTAGACTTCAGTGCTTGTCTAGTTTGTTTGCTTCAACATATTTGGTTCTATAATTTCACTACTTCAATTTTAAAATTATGATTTATTTGAGTTTGTTTGTTGTGTATTTAGTACATGGACCTAGAAAGCAGTCAGGGTGGTGCATGTGGCAACCAGCGCATGGCAGCACATGGTGGGTAATTTTGTATTTCTTTCAGAAGTTTCTGAAGTCCACCAAAGGTTTTGTCATTTAATATAGTGTACGCCCTCAGTCTATTATTTATTTGTATTATTGCCAGTCTCTTTTGATATTGTGTGGTATTTGAGTCATTTATCATAATTCTTTTTTAAATAAATAAGATAAATAAATTCTTATTTAAATTGTGTAACACTTCTTCTTTCAACCTGTAGTTTGCACTCTTGTAAGACCTAAAATAGAAAAACAATGGGATGAAAGATGCTGTCTCAAAGCTTCTCTGTTTGGTCTGTAAGTTATGTGTACCAGATTAAATCCTTCTTTTCAATTTTATATAATAAAGAAATATATTGTATTTCCTTTTCCAGTGGCGCCTGCTGGCCTAAACCCAGAACACAGGCTGAGGAGGAATCCACACATGCAGCAGAGTTCTTTCCCACCTCTTGACACAGTGTAAGTATTGAATCTCATGATTCTTTTTTGTTATTCCATTCTATTCAGCTTCTGAAGACTCAGTCCTCATGTCAAATGTCTGGAAAGTGAAGAGTGCTGAGCATCCAACACAGATAAACCTTTAGCCTTAGGTCTTTTGTAAAAAAATAACAGTAACTGTTACTATTACAGAATATAACAAAATATCTGACATAAAGTATTTTACTGTCACTGCTTCCATTGCAACAGTATCAAGTATCATGCAAGTATCAACAGTCATCCTCTCTCTCTCATAATGACCATGGTCAAGTTACAATTGACTATTACCTTCTTTGTTGTACAGTTATGTTGTAATACTTAGTGTCCATTGAAATTGTTTTTCAGCTCTCTTGAGGCAGAGCGTGTACGTCTACAGATGCATGTTGGACAAGGTTCGATTTCGGTAAGAATCCAGAGAGGTAATGGAGCTCAGGAGATCGTCAACCTGTACCTACAGATACCTTCAGCAGCAGCCTGTAGACTTGATGTACAGTTCATGGGAGAGTCTTCGGTAGATTGTGGGGGGCCTAGCAGGGAGCTCTTTGTGTTGGTTTGGAGATGGTTGTCAGAGAGATACCTTGAGAATGGTATCCCTCGTCAGAGCCCTGACTTGGAGCCAGCTACCTACGAATTCTGGCTGGCAATAGGGAGGTTTACCCTCTACATGTTTGTGCACTACAACTGTTTCCCAGCTGCTCACCTGGCAAGGTTTGTGGTGGAAGCAATGTTCAATGGTGCACCACAGTTGAACAGAGAGGACTGGCTCCCAGCTTTTCTGGACACTCTCCCAACCAACATAAGAACTCTTCTGCTTGAAAGCTGTTCTAGTGAAACAGCTTTTGAAAGGAACAGGGCTTCGCTAACTGAAGCTCTGGTGGCATGGGGGGTGTCCTCCTTTCCACGAAGCCCTGCCCACCTTTCACGGATGCTCCCAAAGATAGGGAGGTCTGTGTGTCTGGATGCGCCCTATGTGGCGCTGTGTGGCCTCATCAATGGCTTCCGTGAAGGGTGGCAGGCATGTGTAATGCCGGGGGATGTAGATAGGCTTATCCGACAGCATAGCCCCCCTAGCGCTGGTGACATCATCCCAGCTTTGGATATTGAAACAAGCAAGGTCGATTCTTACACTGGCCGCAGGATGGAAGGGTACGTGCATCGATGGCTCCAAAATGCCAGTCCGACTATGCTACAGCAGTTCTTGATCACTGTAACTAGCTATGATCAGTTGACTAACCAAAACATCACCATCGTTTTGGATCCAGACTATCCCAACTGTGTCATCTCTACATGTACCCAGACATTGCCTGTGCCAGTGGTTGAGACCTATGAGGGGTTCTGCACCTACATGACAGGAGCTTTGTCTGGTGACATATTCAACCATGTCTGAGTCTGTTGATGGAGTTTTTTTTTCAATGGAGTGGTTCAATGCAAGGCCTATACAACCACTTCTCGGCAATGAACTAGAAATATGAGAGAAACATGGCTATGTCAAGAGATGGCTGTGAACGTTTGATTTGAAAGCCTGTAGATTGTAAGTTGGTGGGAAACAGGTGTCAGGGAGGGAATTCCAAAGCTTGGCCGCACGGGGAAAGAAACTGTCACTGTAAAAAGATTTCAAGCAAGGAATTTGGACGGTGAAGTTGTGTGAGCTATTGGAGAATAATGATAGCATTAAGACATGTTATGTCACTAGCTAGTCTGTTCTCGTAGTCAACCAGATCCAATATTTTTGTCAGTTTGAGAAAATTTGACTAAACCTACTCCCCAGTAGATTATACCCAGGGCAGTATGTCAAAGTCATCCCGTCCAATCAACCTCTTTTAAACTCAGCTTTGGTTAGGAACATCCTCTCAGATGGGACATAAAGCAGAGTGTTTCAAGAGAGCCACATCTTGAGCAGGTTAGATATCCCACCGCACCCGGTCTGCACTACCAAAAATGACATTTCTTGTACTCTTGTTTTTTCTTCCGCACAGAAAATATTTCTTCCGGGAAGCAAATTTTTCTGCACGCAAGGAAGAGATTGATTTAGATTTTGTCCACGAGTTAAGCATTTTTTTCTTATCGAACCTTTTCTTGCTGTAAGATTATCTTTCTTATAGGTTTCTATTTAGTTAACCTAGATTACATCCAGAATCTTATTCTTACAGTAACTGTAAGATTTTTTCTATGCATGTTCGTGGTGCAGACAATTGTTCTTATAAGACTATAATTCTCAATACCCAAAATTCTGACTATTAGCCTGGAAGTTATTATTCTTTCAAAAATTTTTGTTCTTACCCTAAGACCACTACATTCTTATATTAGGTAGAAATAGCTTGAAGTTCTTACTTCATCTCACACCCAGAATTTCTTTCTTTTCTTAAGACCAAAATTCTTGTTACATGTACCTATAGATTCTAGTTCCTTTTTAAGATTTATGTTCTTACACTTTGGATGGTTAAACCTTACAGTGTGGTCTTATGCAGCTTGTACTTACTGTTACTGTACAAATTGTACTGTAACAGTACAATATGTGTGTTACGTCTAAAGGCGGTTTACAGGTTATGCGAAACAAAAAAAAACTCAACCCCTAGTACAGGCTATCTTATGCAAAACATCTGTATACTGATTTGCTTGCTAACAGCATGTAGTTTTAAAAGCTTCAAAATCTATTTATGTATAATACATACTATATTAAGTCAGTATGTATCAGTCTGATCATCACAGCTGTGAGAGAGAAATGATACTGAATGTAAAGATGTAAAAATGCATGTTAAGCAAAACAGGTGTTTTGATATTGTACATTATAACTGTTACAGCTAAAAGAGAGCATTGCCAAATAATGTTAAACTGAACCATCATATTCCCTGAACCTTATACAAAGGTATGGTCTAGTGCCAAAGGGCAGAGATGTTAACTTTATGAAAAAAGGGTCTTAAGCTGCATATATAGTGTTACGAAAGAATTGGTCGTATATGTTAATGTGTTTTTAAAATGTTGTAGAAGATATCAGATCATACTGTTATCCACTGGATGGTCATGGGTAAATTCTCATTGCCTGTCTTATTGGTTATCTTGTACAGATTGCACTTGTTGGATGATGAGACTGATACAATATCATTTCATTGTACATTTAATATTTTAGAAGTTGTCAAACAGGGCTCGAAATACTTCTTGCTAGCACTGGTGTAGGTACAATTTGACATAAAAAATCTGCACCAGACAAATTTTACCTGCTCCCTTCAGAATTTCAGAAGTACGGATCACACTAAAACTGTTCAGAAACCACTATGTGCTAACAGTCAATGCAGGAAATAAAATATTATGGGCATAAACCTAAATCTGTATTTAAACTTAGTATGAACCAGGTAGACCAGAAATACCTGCACAGCTCCAGTTTTACCTCCAACCTGCATAAATGCCATCATCATAATAATACTAATTATCCAGGTATTTCGAGCCCTGTCAAAGGTTCAATGATATTACCTGTCATTAGAGTTATGACTATAGCTATTCTGCTGCATGCTTGCATCTGAATATTCTTAAACTTGAAATCATCAGGCCATACCAATTTATTTTGAATTCTTGGTTCTTAGACAGAATAAAGTCAGTAAAAGTTTAGCAAAACAAATTGGAAACAGAAGGTTGGGAGAAATATCGCTTTTTATAACTCCCTAAAACTGTGTGTTCCACATTGGTACTGATCTAGACTCCACCACAGAACCCTTTTGCAATATAATGAAGTTCAACATTATTTTTTGAAATCTAAGAACCAAGTTGGTGTGGTGTCTGGCAACACCATACTCACAATGTACAAACACAATGTAACAATAACATTTGGAATTTTGGTTAAGTACATGTACATGTACATGTAAGGTTGTAAAGAAGACTGACAATCAAAGAAGAGTGATCTTCTATAATAATTATAGAAGTTCTAAGGGAAAGGCTTGATTTAGAATATGCAATATTTTCATGGATGCAATATTTTCAATGAAGTCGAGATAATGAAATATCAATAAAATATCAAGTGCCATGTAACAAGAAAATGTTAATATCAGATAAAATATTGTATTCTTTGAAAACCTGAATAACTGAAGTATTTTCAACCCATCATGTTAGTGTTGCCATACAATCATGTTTGTACATTGTGTTTCTCAGCAAAATCAGCTATGCAAGGCAAAAGCATTAAATAAAGTTGCACTGCATAAAAACAACTTTGCATATCACTTCATTCATTTTTAAGGACTGTCAATTTGTAGAAAACCTTCAGAATCTCAAAGGACATTCAACTTATTATCATAATACAGAAGACAAAC